ACTTTGCTTTGCCTGAGCACCTGCTGAGCCATTTTGGCAGTTGTAGTACTGGGTTGCAAACAGCTGCTTGAGGTATGCTTATTGAAAAAGTGATTGAACGTAAGGTACTAAAGCCTAGTGAATAACACCCGGATTTTGGAATGAGACAGACCTGGGTGCAAATCACAGCTCTGTCACAGCCTGTAATCCTAAACTGTAAAAATAGGACAATAAGGCTGTTGAAGGATTTAAAAGAAAAATCTGTAAAGCACTTAGCACTGTGCCTGAGACACAGTGATTTTAAAAGATAAATCTATGAGAATAATGGAATAATCTAAGTTCTAAATTAAGATGTCAGAGGTTGTAGTGAAAAGAATCACAATTTTATAAACATAAACTTGATATAGCCTATTATCTAACTAATCATTTATGATGTACCAACATTGAATTCTTTTAAATATTTTTTTGTTGATAATTTGTTGTTTAAAACTACTCAGGAGTTAGAACAGTTTAATTAGTTTTTTTATGTGCTGAGAATAAAAGATTAAACAGGGATAATGTAACTTTACCTTCAGTTTGGAAATGATGTGAAGAGGACATATGATGAGGACATTTTCAGCTAATGACAGTTTGCCTTGCCGTGTTGCCATCCCCACAGCCCTGGTTCTGGGAGTCTTTTATAATTGAGAATCATTTTTCCTGTTATTATTTAATCCATAGAATAACTTAACCCCCTTATATATAACATAAAAATGAAGCTATCATTTTTTCCACGCAAGTTCTGAGACTCAGGCTGTACCTTGTCATTTAAAAATTGGTCATTCTTGGTTACTTAACCTCTACAGATCTAATTTCAACAAATATTTGAAGCTTACACTTAAAAAATAATTTATTAAGCTAGGCCCTCTGGGCATTATCAAATATGAGAGGACACTAGCCCAGCCCTCAAGGAGCTTAGAATCAAGTCAGAAGGCCAAGTACAGGAATGTTTGTCAAATGTGGCAGAGGAATGTGGATTGCCATGAAAGCAGCACAAATCCTGTTCTGAGCTGTGTGGAGGAAGGGGAGGGTTTGTGTGGTGGCCAGAGGGCAGGAAGGGAAGCATGTTACAGAGAATACCTGAACTAAACCTCTGAATGAGCGGCAGCATTTCAACTACCTCTTTGCAATTCAGCTGGAGGTGGCAACGTGAGCAAGCATGAGCCACGCTCCCTCCGTGGTTAAACATCTTAAGTCCTGTTGTCATATAAGGTACACTTACAGGAACTGATAAGATTAGATTGGGTGACACTGTTGAATTCCAGAGAAAGGATTTAATTCAACAGGAAATAGATCTCATGTTCCTCTTGTGAAAAAGAAAACAAGTACACTTGTTCTGTTTTGATTATTTCAAAATTTGTTAAATAATAATCCCATAATTTCATAAATAATTATGTAGTCGCAAGTTCTCTCCAGCACCATGATTCCATGACAATAAGTTTATTTAGATTGACAAAAAATGGATGTCTCTTTCTACTGAAATTTTTTGACCCCAACACTTCTACATGCAAACATAGCTTCTCTGCATTTGGATTCTTAGGGTTTTGTATAATGTTTAATTGCACTTTGCATTTCCATTTCATATTATTACATAAGTATGCATGTCTTCTTTTTCTTGCCAAATGTTAAACTCCAGGAAGTGGGGCCCACATTCAACCTCTCTTTGTATACTCTTGTAGTTCTCCCCTTAAGAGGAATTCGAAAGTATGTATTGAATGAATTCACTGCTTAATATCTGCTTCCTAGTGAGATTACCAGACTCAGTTTACATGGTATAAGTCATATATTAATGTCTACCTGGAAAATTCTTGTTGGAAATTATTAAAACCACTACTTGAAAAATCTATTTCTTGACTCTTGTTTTATTAATTTTCTGGAGATAAAACATCACTTTCTCTTGTCTGTTGTACTTTTATTACAACTCTAATACATGTTCCTGTAGAAACTTCTTAAGTTACAGATAAGCAGAGGAAAGCAATCAAAATCCTGACACAGAAATAACCATAGTTACTGTATTAGAGGAGTTCATGATGCAGGATTCATGCATTTTGGTTTTTTTACTTTTAATACTCATGTCTAATTTGCCCTTTAGAAAGACTACACTATTTATACTTACTCAAGAGGTGCTGAGAATGCTCTTTACTTAGCCAACACCATGCATAATCACGAAGATTAATCCTGGCAAAACGGGCAGGAGAAATTGGTTCCTTTATAAACATGCATTTTTTGCATACTAATTAAAGAGTATTTCTCATGAATTTATTGTCCTTTTATATTTCCCTTGTGAAATTGCCTCTCTATTTTTTGACTCTCTCTCTCATGATTTTTAAGAACTAGATATACATTAATAAACATTTCCCCAGTCAGGCATTTGTCTTTTCCCATATTTCCTTTCAGAGTCACTGATCCCTGGGAAGAGGGACTAATAAACTAAGTGAAAGGCATATCTATGATCACTTCTCCTCTCACTTCTAAACTGAGTCAATGTCACGAGGTAGAATTTCTTCCAGGAATGGAAGCAAATATGAAAACAACCAGTGGAATGTTATTTTCTCTAGGAGGAGAAGTATTTTCTGACACATGGTAAAAATGGCATTTAAGTTTAAAAGATGCCCTTACTTTTGACAGTTCCCAAACCAACAGAACTACTTTCCTTTTACCCTTAAGAATATCATTCATAGTAGTGATCTCAAAAGGAACAGAATGGGCAGTGCATGCTAGCAATGACAAGTCAGATTTGGTATTTACAGTCAACAGTAACGTCTGTTCATCCACTATTGATGCCTTGAAGTATTTCCATGGGATATGTATGGGAGGCATATATGGCTGTGCCCCACAAATTCAATAAAGAATGAACACTTTTATGGCTTGGTAACTATGAAGTTGGCTGGGGGCAATGATGAAATTCTTTCTTCTTGGAAAATAGAAACTATGAAGGGGAAGAAATGTGGAAAAATAATTACGAAAGACAAAAAGAAAACCAACATAGCTGGGAGTACAGAAGTACAGGGGGAAAAAAGGAAATAAGAAATACACATTAAACAGCAGAGCTTGAGAAGTGAGGCTGAGAAGAAACACATTCTCTGAATTTATTATACCCGAGTTATCAAAATATGGTGCAGTGTTCATTTTAAATGACTCAGTTTCTGTAAGTGGAGCATTACAAATATGGAACTGGGCTTTTTTTTTAAACACTTTAAATGAATTTATTCCTCCTATGACATAAAAATAGTTAACTCTGCCTTCCATGGAGCATAAATGTTGAAAGCATTTTTTTTTTCAATTTCTTATATTCTTTTTCAGTACACAGAGCACACAGCTAAACTGGGAGCCAGCAGCGCTGCAAGCTGTTTGTTGGAATTTAGAGTCCTGTCAGATTTCCCCATGATTTTCACGTTTGTTCACCAGCAAGTTTCAGAAGCAGGAGGAAAGCTGATCATTTATAATTGTAGTTGGCTTAGATAAATCAAAGGTGTTTGGGCAAACGCTCTTTCTACTTGAAGTCAGCTTAACATTCAATGAAAGAATTGGCTAAAGGACCAAAATCTAGGGATACAATAGTTTGTAATCATGAAACCAGCCTAGACGCAAAGAAAAAAAAAATAAGGAAATCTCTGTTTATTTTGCAATGCGGGTGAATCTAGGAACACAGCAAGCAACAGTTAATAATAATTTTGTATCATTTATTCATTTCTTGCTCTTTTCCAAGATCTTGTTTGGCTCAATGCCATATTTAGAGAAATGAGCATTTTGAGACAGAAACAAAAATATAAGTGTTTGGCTCTTTCATAAATACCTGTATCTAAAATTATTAAAGTACTTAACAAAATAATGCTAATATGAAACTGATCGACTTTTATTAAAACACAAAAGCAACATTGTGGCTTTCCTTTTAGGTAAGTTCTAAAGCTTTATTTTAAATAGTATCAATTAAATGCTAATAAGATAAACTTAGTCTATAAGAAATCAAGCCTGGATGGTGTCAATTCAATTCTAAAGGTATTTAAAGTATAATGGCTTAGGGAAATAAATCAAATAGGGATAAAATTCTTTCAAAAAATTGAGAATGATCACCAAAAGTCTAATGAAAGTTTGTGAATCGTGTTTCTCAAATGGCCACTTAAGCAGGCTGACTCATGCATGGCATGTTCTCCCTCCTTGGCCTCTGTCCACAGTTCACCAGAAATTTGTGATGAAAACTGAAGGAAACACACCACGCGGCTTCAAATCCTGATATACCAACATGGTTTGCATCACTATGGAGGCCAAGACTCCAACACTGCACCACTGTGATTAGGAAGAAAATAGGTTTAAAAACCACGAGTTGATACATCAGTACTTTTACCCCAATGACATGGAACTGAACTATCTTGATAAATTGTTCTTCTCATTTTTAGTTTTGTCAGCCTGATTTCACCTACTTCCTCATCTGTGAGTCCTGATTTGTGAAGCTTATTTCTATGGTCCTAGGTAACTTTTAAGTTTAATGGTTTTCAACAATACAATTTATTCTATTCCCTCAAGTGGAGCAAAAACAAATAATGAAAGTATTGAACCAATTCATCTGTTTTCTAACACCTGGCATACTTTTCTGACTTCCACACTGGCTTTTTCACATGTTATGTATATACACATGCATCTCATCCACACATAAATATGCCTACAAATACGCATATACCTGCTATCTATGTATCCATATACGTGCATATGTAATATTCTGTCTACACACACACACATACACACACACCCTACACCTACACAGATCTGCAGAGAAAAACGTCAGCCTTACATATCCGAAACGATCCCAAAGAGTTCAAAAGCCAAGATCGGTAGCACCAATCCACGGAAAGGTAGGATATTTAAAATCACAAAACACTTTTGTGGACTCTGAGACAAACTAAGCCACAAAAAACCTGCACACACAAGCATAGCTGGAGGACACACACTGCCGACAGAAAAGTGAAAAATGAAACCTAGCTGATACCTTTTTTTAGCTCAGCTGTTGAAAAGCCAATTATCTACCTGTGAAGGGTGAATAACACGCCACACACACGACTTTGGCAACACTTGTTTCTAGTCAGGAGTGGGAAGCCCTACGCATCTGCATCTGGGCAGCATCGTCTCCGTGAAACTGCTAAGAAAACCTCAACCTGCAAGGCATTATTCCCAGCTGGAAGGCGAGACCTTGTTGTCCATCACAAAAACCTATGCACGAGTTGGCGGCGTGCTGAAATGCGGAGTCTCGTCCTGGCGGAGTGGGAGGGCCACACTGGGAGAGACTAATAAGGGCAGAGATGCGTCCCCCGTCCCCACTCGGGCCACTCCTCGGCGGTGCGGCGGCCCTGCCCGGACTCCACGGCGCCTCCGAAGGGCTCTCCCACCAATTCAAGGTAAGCTGCGCAGCTTGGCCACCGGCCCTTTCACTCGCTCGCCAGCCCGCACACATGCCCGGTCTGGGTCATCTGCTCGCGAGTCTGCTCACTTGGCGTGCATCTGCTTTTCAAGAACATATTTCAAAAAAGAAAAAAAAAAACAACCGTGCCACACATGTCTGTTGGTTTCGGCGGGTTGGATAACGCACACCTGCAATTCCGCATGCCCGTAGGTAGCTCAGAGACGGGGCCAGAAAACGACTGGCAGACACGGCCGCTTTTCCAGGCTACCTACACTGGACTTCGCGTTCGCATGCTCGCATAATGCAGGCTTTCTGCGTTCCACTTCCGTCCCAGGTGGGTTCTCGGGCTCTGTGCACTGGTAAGGCACAACTAGGGAGCAATGCTGACGCAGGTGAAACCCGACATCAAATACCTAAGAAGAAAATACCCGTGGGGTTAAATGCACAAATCAAGTAAGCTCAAGATAAATTCGCGCCGTTAGGGCTTTTGGGGGGAAGTGGGGGAGGAGGGTGGGGAGCCTGTCCTAGAGATGTTACCCAGTTTTGGGGCCGTAAACGGGGAGCAGCGAGGTTCCTGTGCCCAGCTCCCCGGCCAGGGGCTACCTATTCCGACCTGCGGGCGTTTTCTCCCAATGGCAGCACCAGAGGGGGCGGCGCGGGCGCGGATCCCGGGGCTCCGGCCACCCCAGCCCAGTCGAGCCCCGGAGCGTGCCACCCTGCTTCCTAATTACCCTGCAGCATGCGCAGCGCGGCCCGACAGAGCGCCGCCGCCGTCCCAGCCGTCCTCGCCGTCTCCGCGGGAACGTCCCGCGCCGGGCGCTCGCCCGACGCGGCCCCCTCCTCGGCCGCGGGAACCCGGCCGCCCCCGCCTTCAGCGCGCTGGCGCCGCCACTGCCACAGCGGCCGTGGGAAGCAGGCGGCGCGCGCAGCCGGCTCGGGCGCTGCGGGGTCCCGACGAAGTTTGTTGGCCCGGAACCAAGCTCGCCGCCGGGCACGCCCGCTCTGGTGGAGCAGGCAGGCGTGGGATCCGTGGGATCGAGACCTGCCCGGTGCAGGCTAACTGAGCGGGGGCGACCCCTGGACAGGCCAGGTTAAACACGAGCCTCCGGGCTGATGAGAGGGTGGGGAGAGGAAGAAGGACCCCGGGAGGCATCGCCAGTCTCTGGGAAAGAAGCACTTGGGGGGCAGAATGCTGAAAATGCATATAGCAGGAAATAAACTGTGCTGCCTCCCCCCACGCCACCTCCCAACAAGGCTTCCGACTGTTTTCTGCTTGGGGAAGTCTGAGGAGGAACAAGATGGAGTGATCAGGGCGCTCCAGAGGATTTCACACCTGCTTAACTTGGGAGGGGAGGATTCCTACCTTCCACCCCGCCATCATCGTCTCTCTTGCCCAAATCAAGCACTATTGTTCTTAGAGAAGGAGAGACACCCTAATCACATATGTGGTCTTTCAGGGTCTCCTTGCTGTGGGTGGGGTGAAACCAGGAGAACCCTGTAGAAGCTGAGAGATCTTTGATGGGTCCCTGCGAAGGAGTGGCTGAGATGTTCAGGCATACAAGTGGTTAAAGCGTACACAAATGTCCCCTCTGAAGGGGACATGGGGTCCTTTGGGTAGGAATAACTCTTCAGAGTGGAAAAGATGACAGCGAGTAGAAAATTCTCTCCCTAGGGATCACAAAGGAAAGTACTTGGCCTGTATTTCCATGCTAATCTCTTAAAATGGTAAGGCATCTAAGTGGGGCTTCCTGGGAGAGAAAGGGGAAGGTGTGGCAGTAGAGCAGAGCGAGCCTGAACTTGTATAGACAGCTCAGAGAAAGAGCAAAAAGAAAGTAAATGACATATGCAAATGACCTACGATTATTACTGCAATGGGGACAGTTTGTCTGGCTCTGAATCCTTGCCGCCCAAGAAAACTATCCAAAGCAGATGGAAGCCCATGCTATATTCTCAGAAATGGAGAATTTCCTTTTTTTTTTTTTTTGGTCCTCCAGTTTCTCCTGATGCAATTTTAGTTCATTTTCTCCAGTGGATGCATGAGAAATGACCAGTGGGTGCAGAGAGTGGGTTGTTCTAGAGGAAAATGATATGGAGATAGCAATCATGGTAGTGTGGCTAATTGGCATCGTTAAGTGCAAATTCAAGTGAAGAATGGAAAATAAACAGGAAGATGAAGAAATGGAGCAATACAGATGACTATATATAACCCTGAAAGGAAGCTGGGAAAAGACGAAATGAGTGGTGTCAGAGTTGTGATATCTGAGGCCACATTGAACACATTCATTGTAAATGGGCAGAGAATAACTGAGGTTTAACAGAAGAGAGCAGGGAGAACATTCCAGCAGGAAGGAATGGCATGGATGAAGCCTGAGAGGTGGGAGTGAGCAGTCCTGTGCCTACTAATAGAGTCCAAGCTGGAGCGAAACCTGAAGGAGGACCTGCCAGCAAGAGACTGGAAAGGAGAAGCTAAGAGGCAGCAGGCTCTTCTGGGTGCTTTGTTTGTAGGCCAATAATAACATGAGGAAGTTGCATGTTCAACTTAAAAGTTGGGGAATGCAACAGTTAACCAATAGACCTGATTTATCTATGCATGGATGTGAAGAGCAGAGCTGCTGACCCTTCTTTTTGAGAGATAGAAAATTCTGATGTTGTGGAAATGACTAGATAAAAAAAGTCTTCAAAAAGAGTAGGAAAACTTGATGAATTAGAATAGTGTTTTGTGACACTGAATCACTAATATAGCTGTGGGAAATAATCTAGATAATTGTAGTCAGAAACAATGCAGGCTGGATGTGGTGGTTTAAATTGAGAGTCATCAGAAAAGTTGATGGAGGTAATTATAGTTCAGAGAAGTGAGTCAATAAAACAGACAAGATTGGGAGAATGAAGGTAATTAGGGATGCATGCTTAGAAGGAACTTGAGGTTTAGACCCTATAGGAAGTAAGTACTAGTTTAACAGGAGAAGTAATATAGAACTTTGAATAAATGTGATAGTTTAAGAGTAGTACAAACACTAGGAATTGGAGTATGTTTTCTAAGGAAGCAGAGAATTAATTTTAACAGTATTTTGTCTCAATGATGTTCAATGAGCTTTCTTTATAAATATAATTCCTTAATTCAAAATATACTTCTATAAATGTTCCTTACATAGATGTATTACTTAACAGTTCTCAAACTTTTGATTTAATTTCAGTCCAAATATATTGCCTTAGACCATAGTCAACCTATGAATTGAACACAAGCACCTACTACATGTCCTGTTTAAAGATGTGTGAATAAAATAGTCTATATGGAACATCTTGGAGAAAAAAGGAGGCAGATTTCAAATCAATTATTACAGTGCAGTACAGGTTTAGCATCTGTTATCTGAGATGCTTGGGACCAGAAGTATTTGGGATTTGGGATGTTTTCAGATTTTAGAATATTTTCACATATATATTAGTTACCCTGGGGATGGGGTCCAAGTCTAAAACATGATGTTGCAATGATATGTTGCATTTTCAGCTATTATTTTTAATGCCCCTGTGTTTTGACTACAACATCTCACATGAAGTCAGGTGTCAAACTTTCCATTTGTGGTGCCATGTTGGAGCATTTTGGATGTCAGACACTTCAATTTAGCAATATTCAACCTCTATAGGCTGACCTGAAGCAAAGTTGGTACCACATTCAGGTGGATCAAAAGGCAGTGATTAATGAACCCTGCCTGGGATGGTTCTATGGGACTTCACAGAGGATGTGACATTCACACTGCATGGCGAAGTTAGGATAAGTGCTCTTCAAATGGAAAAAGGATTTGGGGACCTTTCAGCCATCAAAAACACATTCACAGAAGGCTGACACGTTGTGAGAATTGTGAACACTTTGATGGAGCAGTGTTTTGGGAGGAGATAACAAGACATGAGGCTGAGAAAGATGAGTTTGATAGACCCAGAGATTTGACAAACCTTGCTAGGTATTTGATATGGGAAGGGGATGAATAAAGAATTGAAGATGATTTTGAAATGTCTAACTTGGGTTCCTAAATTAATGATGATGCATGTAGTTAAAATCTGAAGGTAAAGAGGTTTCTGTTGAACACAATAAGGCAAGGAACTTTTCCCGAGTTGCCAAAAAAAAAAGAAAAAAACAAACAAACAAACAAAAAACAAACAAAAAACCAACTCTGTAACCTTATTTCAATTTCATTACTCCAGGCAATGATACAACTGTGAAATTGTATTCTACCTAGTTCTAAATAGGGATATTTGTTTGATTATTTACTTGGATTTTTAACTCTAAAGGTTTAGCTTTTGATCTTTTTTTTTTTCTCCCTAATGGTTTATAGACTCTACTATAGCTTTACTAAAGATAGATTCTCAAGATTGGTAAAAGAACAGATGTATGACACACCTGTTGTTTTTGCTCATTTACATGATGTGTCATTTAATAACAGTATGGCCAGATTTTCCTGGTGGCGTTACGTATAGGCATATTGGAGAGTAGTCAAGAAGGTGTGCATTAAAGATGGACTCCTACCGAGTCACACAGCATTTCTATTTTTGACAAATGTTTTGTAATTTAACAAATCAGACCTACCTTTTTGAAAGTAGAAGTGTTGCATTGTGCTCATTTAACAATCTTCTTAAAATAGTAATTCTATTTTCTTACACTTGTTCTTTTATGTTATTTTCTGTTTTGATGTTGTCTTTACCCTTTACCTAAAACTAAGTTTCCAAGATACTTAGCATGATAAAACTGTACATGACATAACAGTAAAATTATTTGAGCTCCAATGGCAGATTTGATTTGTTTTTACTCAAAAGCTTGCTCCGAGAGGGCCCTTGCCATTTTGGCAAACCCACCATTCCATCATTCTGTCTACATATTTTCCTTTCTTTTACTTCCTAGAATCTGTCTGAAGGGTTATGTGTGTGTTTACCTTTGATCTCCCTGACCAGAGTGATGCAGGGACTTCTGCTTGACTCGCTGTTTACTGTCACTGGTTCATAGTAGGGACTTCATCCTACTAATGGAATGAAATATTAATGTTTTATAATATTTCTATGTATTCTGTATACAAATTTAGAGTAAGAAAGAATGTGTTTAAAAATCTGTGCCCTAATTAAAATATTCTTAGTTTTGATAGTTTTGCCTTATAAATTTCAAGGATGGTGTTAGGAAATTTAAAGGCAGACTAAGAGGTGGCTGTTTCCAGGTGCTGTGGACAGAGTGTAAACTTAGTGGAAGGTTCACATTTGTGTGAGTGAGACTCTTCATTCTGCAGATGGATCCAGAAATAGAAAAAGATGGAGGATTTATGTCTGGTTCAGATCAGAAGGCAGCACATCCCAGAAAGCCTGATCTGTTTAATTCTAAACTTGACCTGGACCTTTTAGGTCTTTTGGAAGCTATGTGCTGAGGTAAAACATGTCTGTATCAGTATTATTGGCTTTATTTTTGATTTTCAAATATTTTGACACATGGTATTTAAATCTCTATCCTCATGCTATGTTAATGCCTGTCCTTCAAGTTATGAATACTAAAATCCACATGTAAAAAATTCCTTCAGAAATGTGACCCATATTCTCCATATTCTGCTTAAAATGTATCATGAGCCATCTTTAGAAAAAATTATTTGAGGGCATTAAGAAACCTTGGAATTCATATTTTATTCTGAGGGTCTTCATTAGTTACTTTAAGAATTGAAGTTCTATGTTGACTCTTTTATCTGGAAAGAGCAATACATAATTGTCATAACACTGACTTGGATTCATTTGTAAAATTACCTTGATAAGCAGCTAGTTAGGACCTAAGGAGACAGAATAGAAACCTACCCAGGTTTGATGAGGAAGGAGACTGTGAATAAAGCCCAGGATTAAGAAATCCTAAAAGGGCTCCAGGTGAGTGTCCAGGGCAGCAAGAAGCAGCCTGAGAACAGTAAGTGTATGGGAATGATGAGAAAGATTGGGAAAAGCAGAAGTTTAGAGAGGTACCAAGGTCAAAGGAAGTTTCTTGCCTTTGACAGTTGTGTTGGCTCCAACCCTGTAAATGCCTCCAGCAGAGGTTCCAGTTCTTAAAAAAAACGTGTTTATACAAGGATTTATTTAGAAACTTTGATAAAAGGTTTAAAAAATGTTTTTAGCTGAATGGAGTACATATTTAATCATTATCTAAACAACAGAAACCTCAATTAGTAAACACACTTTAGGAAACACAAAGAGGAAGAATGCACATAAATAACCTTGGAAATATTATGAGATCTTGAAATACCTTAAGAATTATACATGTATTTCACTGTCTCCCAATCATTGTATTTCATTAACTTATTAACATTTAAAAATTCGACAAAGTTATTGAGTCTCTGCTGTTCCAGAAACTATGCTAGGTATCCACTATACAGTGAAGGACAAGACACAGTTGCTGTACTCATAGATCTTACAATTGTACAATAAATGTGTGTACACAGCAAAATAAAGTCTGAGATACAGAATTATGGAGCAACAACACTTCTTGGTCAGATAAGAGCTCTCCCACACAGGAACACTGATGAAAGATGAAGGATGAACAGGACCCAAAATGTTTCAGGATGAGGAAATAGTATACCCAAAAACCGTGAGGTTGGAAAGACTCTGGGAACTTGAGAAGTAGGACATCTGTGAAGAGAGCAAAAGATTGTTCAGCCGTGAAAGGCTCTTGGATTATATTTGAAGTACAATGGAAAACCATTAAAGATCAGAAGTTATATGATCCAAATTTCATTTTAAATAAGGATCTCTAGTGCTATACAAAGGACGAATTTGATGAGGAGTCAGTAATGGAGGGGAGAAACTAGTTAGGATGCTGTTGAGAAGTCAAGACCAGGGTGATTTGATGTAGGACAATGACAGGAATAGAAGTGGATGGCTTCGCGATGTGTTTAGGGTAACATGACTGGTGGATGGTTTGGATGTAGGGAAAAGGGATGAAGAAGACAGAAGAATCAAAGTGATATTTGAGTTTCTGGTTTGACCAAAAGTAAAACTTTTCAAAAGTTTTACTTATTTTCATTTAACTTGAAAGGTAGAGAGCAAGGCAGACAAATGGTGACTTTCTTATTCTAAAGAGAATCTATCAATGTAACTGAAACCCTGATATGAATTAATTTATAGTAGACTTGATTAAACTTTGAAAGATTATAAAGTGATATAACATTTTTTTCATACTTAGACCTCTTAGGATAGCTATTCTAATAGTATTGTGATTGTCAAATACACTGAGCTATTATATTTTTACTTGTAATTTACTTCCATGCTAGTTCACTATAAAAAAGTTGTTTTTCATTATGAGATTCTATTTAGCAAGTCTTATTGTAATACCCATAGACAAGAGGTATGCATTCAGAAAGACAGCTATCAGAGGAAGTAGGTGTTACATACATCCATTTTTTTCTTTTTAAATACAAGATTGCTTTTCACATGTGCCGTAATGACTTTTTATAGCATTGATGATTTAATTCTAATAACATACTTAAATTTATAGAAAATATTCTGACATTAATTAAGCCAAAAGATGCAGAACTAATAGAAAACTGAACTGTGGGTAGTAAAATCAAATTTTAAAATTATGAATCATTACATGTGATACCAATAGCATAAGCAACAAAAAATAGATGCCTGTGATGATCCCATGTGGGCACCCATTCAGGTCCTAGCTGCTCTACTTCCAATGTTCTTACTAATGCAACTGGGAAAGCAGCAGAAGATGGCTTAACTGCTTGGGCCCCTGCCATTCTTGTGGGAGACCCAAATGGAGTTCCTGGTTCTTGGGCCAAGTCCATACCGTAGTGGCCATTTGAGAACTGAACCAGTGAATGGAGGATCTGTATTTCTGTCTGTCTCTCTCCCCCTCCCTTCCTGCACCTTTCCTCTTTCCTGTCTCCCTCTCCCCTCCCTATTCCTGTCCTCTCTCTCTCTCTCTCTCTCTCTCTCTCAGTAACTCTGCCTTTCGGATAACTAAAATGAGTCTTTAAAAAACAAGCAAAAACAAAAACAGTATCAAAAGACACAAACAACAGAATGAAAACTAAACCTACAGAATGGAAGAGAATATTTGCAAATCAGAAATCTTATAAGGAGTTAATATCCAGAATATATAAAGAACTCCTGTAGTTCAACAACAACAAACTTGTTTGCATATATTAATACAAATAATTAGATAATCCAAATAAATTATACAGATGGCCAATAAGCATGTGAAATGATGTCCAACATTGTTAATAATTAGGGACCTGTAAACCCAAACTACCATGAGACACCATCTCCAATTCATTTAATAGTTGTGTGGCAACTATTAAAAAGAAAGGAAATAACAAATGTTACTAGGGATACAGAAAAGTTGGAACTTTTGAGCGTTGTTGGAATATGAAGTGATGCAACTGCCATGGAAAGCAGTATAGTAGTTCTTTAGAGTATATGAGTATACAGTAGTTCTGTTTTTCATTTTCTATCAATTCTATTCCTGGATATAAGTGCAAAGAATTTGAAAGAAAAGACTCAAATTATTATTTGTACAACCATGTTCATAACTGCATTGTTCACAGTAGTAAAAGATGGGAGCAACCTAAAGGTCCACCAGTGGATGAATTGATAAAATGTGGTCTATTCATACAATGGAGTATTATTCAGCATTAAAAGGGAAGGGAATTCTGACACATTGCCACAACATGCATAAATTTTTAGTTTATTAACTGAAGTCACAGAAGATTAAAAAATGGTTCCTTTTATATGAGGTACCTACAGTATTCAAAAATCATAAATGCATCAAATAGAATGATGGCTTCCGAGGCTGAGGGAGAGGGGAAGCTATAGTTTAATGACTCTAGAGTTTTAGTTTTGTAAGACGAAAGGGTTCTAGAGATGAATGATGGTGGTGATTGCACAAGAATGTGAGCACATTCATTCCACTGAACTGTAACTAAAAAATGGCTAAGAACATATTATGTATAGTTTACCACAATTTAAAAAAATATAAAATTGAGAGAATTTAAGTTCTAAGAGACTGTATCAACCCTGATAACTAACTAGAAACTAATCCAAAAATATTCTTGGAATTCTTTCATACAGATTAAGGTATATATTAATATGTATATGTAATCATATACCCTATTATGTATTTATATATAAGGTAAAGATCTGTTTTATCTTTAAGTTTTTCTGGAGACAATGAGAGGAACTACATGTGATTAAGCTTATTGGAACATTTTTCTCCCTGCTGCAGATTTGTGTCCACTTGTTCACATGGTTTCAAGGCACAATGAGGCGCACTGGCTCTTGGAAACTCTGGCTTTGGATGGCAATGTTCCTGCTTCCTGCTTCCACTTCCGTGTCAGTCAGGGACAAGCCAGGTATCTATGCCACCTCCTTACCCAAACTCCAGATGTTATTTATAGCCTTTAGATCTTTAAGAAAATATTAATACAAATCTTTTTAAGACTTCAGAAACCATAGATTATAAATATATTAGTACAGAGTAAATAATTCATTTATACCACTGCTCTTCACATCATACTCATTAATTTTAAAATTACCTGATTTTTCTCAAGTATTATATTAGTGTAACTACCCCTGTCCTTTCTGTCATTGATATTTAAAAATATAAATGTGTGTATGTAAATTTATATATATATATATCATTTCCCTTCTAACTACTGCATTCAAGTTAAAAGGAAGCTCATCACCAATTAAGATTAATGAGGACACATCTAATCTTAATAAGGGAAAAATGAAAATAGCAATAAAGGGAATATATTTTAATTTTATGTTAGTTTTGTATCTTATGAGGCAAACACAAAATTGACAGATTTTTAGAGCATGTTTTGAGCTAAACATATTTACTTGCAGCTGCTAAATTAATCATCTAATACATCTTGCTAAATGGATTTACAGCAATTTGAAATATCTATTTCCATATTTGGTTTTTAAAATGGGTAATGTGCTCGATTTGGAGGATATTCTTGAACATTGAGTATGTGTAAATTATTGGCATTGGTTTGTTCCATGTTACAATTTGAATGAGACACATTGGAGAAACCATTTGCTAAGATAAAACTCCAGCTCCCTTCCATGAAAAGGATTATATATAGTATATTCTGATGATGATTATACAGGACATAGTCTAAGACTAGGTCTTATTGTGCTTATTTGTTTGAAATCTTCTTTAATTTTTGAATAGCATGAATAATCTCACTAATTAAGTAGAGACTTTTGAGTTTGAAACATAAAATAAAATCACTTATAAAGGCATAACCAATCTTGGTCTTCATGGTGTATAAGACTTAATGGTCTTTACAGTGTTTGCTCATTTAGTAGGAGGTATGTTTCCTAGAATAATCCACAGGAAGGTTTAAACATTTTACTGGATAAATAGCTTCGTGTGGCTGTCATACAGCTTTAGGGGCATACACTTTGAGAAATACATCTGCAGTGACTTATGAATTACATATCTGCTGAGCACGAGAGAGGATTTTATTGTGATAATGTTGCCGTTCTTGCACATTCATGACTGCTCGGGAAACCTGGAAGGTAATGTGCTTTGCAATTTATTCAGAGAAGATAGGTTTATTTTGTTTCCTTTTTGGTTTGTTTAAGTTAAAAAGGAGAATGAATCTTTGGTTGACTAGGACATAGGCACAAGCTGGGGTATAATTGTTGCAATTGTTCCTGATGAAAACAATGACCTGAAGTATCTACATAAAAGGTTCTCTGGTATCAGTTTGAACAAGAATCACCTGCCATCTATTCTCAGCGATAACCACAATACAGGTCAAAGTAGAGTAGGATTCAGTAACTACATCTTTTTTTTTTTTTTTTTAAAGACTTTATTCGAAAGGCAGAGTTACAGAGAGGTAGAGGTAGAGAGCGAGGTCTTCCATCCAATGATTCACTCCCTAGATGGCCACAACATCCAGAGCTGTGCTGATCCGAACTAGGAGCTTTCTCTGGGTCTCCCACGCAGGTGCAGGAGCCCAAGGACTTGAACCATTTTCCACTGCTTTCCTAGGCCACAGCAGAGAGCTGGATTGGAAGTGGAGCAGCTGGGACTCAAACCAGCGCACATATGGGATACTGGCACTGCAGGTGGCAGCTTTACCCACTACACCACAGCACCAGCCCCAGAAGATTTATTTATTTTACTTGAAAGTCAGGGTTACTCAGAGGAGAGGCAGAGAGAGAGGGGGAGGTCTTCCATCTGATGGTTCACTCCCCAATTGGCCGCAACGGCCAAGGCTGGGCCAAACTGAAGCCAGGAGCTTATTCCCGGTCTCCCATGTGGGTGCAGGGGCCCAAGGACTTGGGCCATCTTCTACTGCTATCCCAGGCCATAGCAGAGAGCTAGATGGGAAGTGGAGCAGCCAGGACTAGAACCAGCGCCTGTGTGGGATGCAGGTGCTTCAGGCCAGGGTGTTAACCCACTGTGCTGCAGCGCCGGCCTCTCCAGTAATAATAAGGTCCCTAGGTGAATAGAATGCAGGATGTCTGGGGAAAATACTTGGAGAAATACTCACCTTTGGGATAATTAACATTTCATTTCCTACCCTCTTCCTCTGTAGATTATCTGGCATGTTATGCCACCAAGTTCCTTTTCTCTTTTATTTTTGCCTTCAGTAACTCTTTAAAAAATTATGGTTTAAGAACACAGTGTGAGATCTACCCTATTAAATATTTTCAGTATGCAACACACTTGTGTTAACTGTCAGCACAGTGTTGTTGAGTACCATTTAATCATCTTGCATAACTGAGATTTCCTCATTTTAGGATTTTCTAAATATTTTGCTTTTGTATCTTTAGTGTCTTAATTCTTTAATTAGTTTGTATATATGTCTACCAAAATGCATATATTCTATTCCAATTTATTTAACCAAATTAATCTTTTTGAAAAATTTTCCTAAGAGCAAGACTTCGAAATTAATCTGAACTCTCACAAGATTGATATATCACAAAGCACTAAAGGAAATCATAAAGAAAAAAACTTAAGAGTTGATTTTTATTATGTCATTTGGTAGAAGGTGCTCACAAAAAAACACATGTGAACATGAATGGAAATGGCTTAACGTCACGTGTCACTTGCATTAATTGGAAACGTCAGCAAAGCACTAGCCGAGGGATTACTGGAGTATGTGATATGCGGGGCATAGCCTGGCAGGGTGCTCTTCTAGTGTCTTGTGTGTCTGATTCACAGCACCAGCTTCCCTTTTTAGTGTCCTCATGTGCAGACCTGCGTGTGTGGTCACTAACCATTTACCGGAGGGAAGTGATTGCATCTAAAAATAAAATACAACAAATTGAAGCAGAGGCTAGAGTTGCAGCTCTCAGGACTGTGAAGTTGTCAACAGTTTACTGTTAAACCTAAATATATGAAGGATGAGTTAAGTCTTCTAATCATTTTACTTCAACTCTATGGTTTGTTTAATGAGTACTTGGAATATCATCCCAGTTGGGATAGAATTCAAGAGTAATTTGGAAAGATTCAATAGCAACTTGATCTTTACAGTCTTGAAGGTATTTTGGACTTGTTATGTTGAGATTTCGTGGTAAAGCAAGTTGTGTATTTCCGTACTACAGATGAACTTCAATCCCAATGTGACAGTTTCAGCTGAGTTGGTTGTCAAGAAATGAGACAGAATTGTATTAAAACATATGCTACACTAGATAAACTCAAAATTTGCCTTAATCTGTTGCTTGGCACTTTTTTCTCCATTATACAAGCCAATGTGTCAAATAATTAAAGTTTCTTCTTCTTAAAATCTGTTCTAAGGCAAAAGTTCTAAATTATAAAAAAAAAAAGTAAAAGGCTAAGTAAACAGATGACAGAAGGCCACATAAATTACAAATTTCTTTTGTATGGTAAAGCTGGTAAAGCCTCAGGTTAAGTATCTAGATGGAGTTAATTACACATTTAGGTCCAAAAGTATTCAAAGAAACCCTCCTTAGTTTTCTGATAATTGCAAGGGAAAACTATTATGCTGAAATACAATCTCTTCTAGTTGGCAAACACCTCCTTTTTCTTCTTTTTTTTTTTGTGTGTGTGTGTGTGTGTGTGTGTGTGTGTGTGGAGATTTATTATTTGAAAGAGTTACAAAGAGAAGGAGAGAAACAGCAAGTGAGAGCGAGCTTCCCATTCAATGGTTCACTCCCCAGATGACCACAATGGCCAGGGCTGGCCCAAGCCAATGCCACGAGCCAGGAACCCTATTTGTGTCTCCCACAGGGGTGTCAGGGGCCCCAGTACTTAGGCCATCTTGCACTGCTTTCCCTAGGCCATTATCGGGGAGCTTGATGGGAAGTGGGGTGGCTGGGACACAAACTGGCCCCCATACGTTATGCCAGCATCACAAGCAGCAGATTAATCTGCTACACCACAACACTGGCTCCTAAACACCTCACTCTCAGAGTGTGGCCATACAGGGAATTTTACCGTGTGTGTGTGTGTGTATGTCTAGAATTTGTTCAAAACCCTAGTTGACAAATACTTGGTAACTCCTGTAATTTGAAAGTGGAGGAAAGCCTCATAATACCTATTTTTGTGGAGTAGTTTTGTACTAGAGATGAGCAGTAAAGGTGCTATGACCTTTTGTAACCTCTCCATTAAGATAGCTGTGTTCCCATACTTTTTTTTCTTAAGACTTATTTTATTGATTTGAAAGGCAGAGTTGGAGAATTTGTCATCCCTGCATCCCTGTTTCACTCCCCAAATAGCCTGGAGCTGGGCCAGGCTGAAACCAGGAGCCTGGAACTCCATCCAGGTCTCTCATGTGGGTGTCAGGGACCCAAGCATGAGGCCTTCTTTGCTGGCCTTCCCAAGCGCATTAGCAGGGAGCTGGATTGAAAGGGGAGCAGTCGAGACTCGAAGCGTTACCCATATGGGATGTAAGTGTTGCAGGTAAAGGCTTCACCCGCTGTGCTACAATGCCAGGGACTCCCTGTCCCCCCCATTTTACTCTTGTTTAGTCACCATTTCATATTGTCTCTGTTATATTCTGGTCTGGCACACTTTATCTATTTGTGTTAATCAATGTTTTTCTCCCAAGCTTAGCTACTCAATATTCCTTTACCAGAGGAATTGCAAAGTATGAAGTATAGAGAGGTGGGAGGGCAACTAGGATCAAGGAAATGAAGAGGCCTGCTTCCTCTCCATACCCTGAGAAGGTTGCTCTAGCCTTTTAAAAAATCCAAGACCTCTGACAGCTCTTGTTTTGCTCCCTTTACAAAGTGAAAGCAAACTAGTTCCATATCTGCAGTACATCTTTCCTCTTTGTCTTCCTCAGCTCTAGTCCTCAGGAAAGTGCTGTGTCACCAGTTCTGTACCTGTGGGTAAAGAAAACGCTCTTCTCTAATGCATGTTAGT